ACTTATAATAAAATATTTTTTTAACTTTTAGTAAAAATTTATGTTCTTTTTTTGTTTCTATTTTTTAATATGTTTTTATTTTACTCATTAAATTTTTCTCGTATTTGATTTTTATCCTTGTTATACCGAAACTAAATAAAATTTACTATCCTAAGGTTTTTTTTTTCTTTTACCGAAATTTTCTTTCTATTCTAATTTCTATTTTGTAATTTTTTTCTTTGTTTTCGTCATTAAATTTAGTAGAATTTTTTTTTAGTCTTTGTTTTGTAATTTTTTTTATTTTGATCATTAAATTTTTTCCTACAAGGAACTAGTTTTTACTTTTAGTAAAAAATTTTTTCTTATATTTTGATTTTTTTTTATGATCTTTCATTTATTTTGATCATTAAAATTTTATTATATTTAATTATTATTTATTCTACATTAAAATTAAATACATTTTTACTATGCTAAGTTTTTTTTTTTTAGTGAAAAGTTTTTCTATTTTGATTCTTATTTTATTATTATTTTTTATCTTGCTATTTAAAATTCTATAATGTTTACTTTTGTTTCTCGCCTTATGCATAATGAAATTTTTTTAGTGTTATTGTTTATAAGTATTTTTTTTTGTATGCTTTTAGTGAAAGTTTATTTATTTATTTTTATCCTTTTTATGATCTTTACTTTGTTTTAATCATTTAATTTTTATCGTGTGTAATTTTATTTCTATTTTATTTGCCAAATTCTCGATTTGACAAGGCTTTTTTGTCTTTTTGTTTTGAGTGGTCTCTCATTAACAAATTATAGATGAATAATATATGGTAAAAATTAATCATCGAACATTCAAAAAACTAGCACATTATTATTTTAATTATCAGTTATTAATAAAATATATGTTTATATCAAATAATATCTAATTATCTACATTATATTATTCAACTTTGCACACTTTTCATTTAGCTAATCCTGCAGTAAATTATGAAATATATGTTTTATTGCTTTTTTTTTAATTGTTTTCGCATGATATTGTTAAATAATGATTTGTAAATGTTAAATTTTATATGAATGAATGCATAAGAATGTTATATAACTCATCCCGAGGTAACGCGCATGATAGATGCTAGTTGGGATCTAAAAAGTAATAAAAACTAAGAAGTTATCGCCCTTTCTTTTTAGTACTAACTATTTTTTTGCTCGTGCTACGTTGTGGGTTGGATAAAATATATAAAGTCATTTCAGTTTGATAGTCCGTTTTATGATATGAATCTATAAAAATATATGAAATCAAATGTGTAAAAAATTATTTAATCAAAACTTTTGCATTTAAGTATTTCTTATTTGTGTTTTTCATAATTTTTCCTTTAGAAAAAGGATTCATCCTTGTTAATCCATGGATTACTAACTAAAAAAAATTAAATAATATTTTTTAAAAAAAAGCTTTATTATTTCATAAGATTGTGTCAAAAAAAACAAATAACAATTATTAAAAGCTTACATAGAATTGAACAAATAATTTTTTTTATTTAATGTTGATGAGAATATTGGTTTTTGAAAAAATGTGAATTTAATTTTTATATATTTATTTACAAAAGAATGAATAATATTAAAATAAAAAACTATATTAATTTGAATCATTGAGTGGTTAAGCCAAAATATTATTTTAATTATTTAATTTAAAATAAGTTAATTTTAAAATATTCAAAAATAAATAAATAAATAGTAAATACTTAGTGTAGTAGTAGTTGCATAGTTGATTTTTAAAAAAACAACAATTCAATATTTTTTTTATACATCATAACTATACTAAGCGAGTTTAGGATTTTCAGTTTAAAACAAAAAATACTATAAAAAGTTAACTTGCAAGGAATATATTGACTAAATTTGAAGTTAATAGACTAAAATAAAAATTATTACAAATTTGATTGCGAATAATTTTGATTATATAAAGAAGAAACAAATTAATAAAACATGTAAATTTTTTTTCCTCCTTCTTAAATATATATATATTTTTTATTTCTATGCTATACATGGCTAGTCCTTGAACATAAGCCTCATGCACAAAACAACTATCTTCTTTTTATTTTTCACATTTGACTTTCAACTATTAATTAATTAATTTGAGTTTTTTTCTATAAAAATCGAGAAAAAATTATTTGAAATACACTTTTAATCTAAAAATGTATTTTAGATAAATTATATATATTAATCATGCCACTATAATTTAAAAGTTATCTAAATCTATTTTTCAAAAGAAAAAAATAATCATGATCTAAAAATTTATTCCAAAATCTATACATGTAGAAAAATAAATAAAAAATGTTAGTAAATATAATTTTAAAATGATTAAATGAGAATTTAAAAAATAAAAAATTAAAGTAGTGAATTTTAAATAATACAAATAATTAACAAAACGTACTAAAAAAGAGAGAGGTGAAATCACAATATAATCAAAGTTTGAAATTAAAAAAAAAAGAGAGAGAATTTAAAAAAAATGACAAATTAATGTAGTAAATTTTAAATGATAAAAAAATGAGAAAAAATTACTTGAAAAATAATTTTAATCTAAAAATGTATTTCAAACAAATTATATATATTAATCATGCCATTGTAATTTAAAAAGTATCTAAATCTATTTTACAAAAAAAAATAATAATCATGTTCTCAAAATTTATTCCAAAATCCATACATATAGAAAAATAAATCAAAATTGTGAGTAAATATAATTTTAAATTAATTGAATGAGAATTTAAAAAAATAAAAAATTAAAATAGTAAATTTTAAATAATAAAAATAATTAATAAAAAACACTAAAACAAAATGGGATGAAATCATAATATAACCAAAGTTTGAAATTGAAAAAAAAAGAGAATTTAAACAAATGACAAATTAATGTAGTAAATTTTAAATAATATAAAAAAACTGAGAAAAAATTATTTGAAATATACTTTTAATCTAAAATATATTTTAGACAAATTATATATATATATATATATATATATATATATATATATATATATATATATATTTTGGAATAAAGTTTTAGAACATGATTATTTTTTCTTTTGAAAAATATATTTAGATCATTTTTAAATTATAATTGTACATATATATATATATATATATATATATATATATATATATATACAATTATAATTTAAAAATGATCTAAATATATTTTTCAAAAGAAAAAATAATCATGTTCTAAAACTTTATTCCAAAATCCATGCATATAGAAAAATAAATCAAAATTGACGGTAAACATAATTTTAAATTAATTAAATGAGAATTTAAGAAAATGACAAATTAAAGTAGTAAATTTTAAATAATAAAAATAATTAACAATAATATTAAAATAAAATGGGACTAAATTATAATATAATTAAAGTTTGAAATTGAAAAAAAAAGAGAATTTAAAAAAATGACAAATTAAAGTAGTAAATTTTAAATAATAAACATAATTAATAAATTAAAGTTTGAAATTGAAAATAAAAAGAGATAGTTTAAAAAATGATAAATTAAAGTAGTAAATTTTAAATAATTAAAATAATTAACAGAAAATACTAAAGAAAATGGGACAAATCACTATATAATTAAAGTTTAAAAATAAAAAAAAAGTTTATAAAATTTGAGGATCAAAGTGTTAAAAAAATGACATGAATGATGAAAACAAAAATGATTTATGAGTATGTGAATAGTATTTTAAATAACGAAATGAATAGTAAAAATATGTTTTACTTCGGTTTGTTTATAAAGTAATAAAAATAATTAACGAGAAAATACTAAAATAAAATAGAACCAAATCATAATATAATTAAAATTTAAAATTTATAAAAAATTTTATAAAATTTAAGAATCAAAATATTAAAAAATAATATAAATAATGATTTATGAATATATAAATAGTGTTTGAAATAATAAAATGAATAGTAAAACTATCGATGTTTTACGTTAGTTTATGTTATAATATAATATAATATATAAAGAAAAAGATTCAGCAGTATGCCAGCTGCCAATTCACAATTAATGGTGTGATCCAAAGACTTTTCTTCGCTTGTTGTCTGCCTTTATCGCTGGAGGAGTACTAAAGAAAAATACTTCACCTACTACCTACCTACCTATTGTATCAAATCGAATACAAAAGGAGTGTTTGGTGGCAGCTCAGCTTAGTCCCTCTAGTTTCGAGAATTGTCCTATTTATTTTTCAAAAGCTAATTATTTAATTTTTATATTTTATTATTTTTTTAGAATTTAACTTTTATTGTTATTTTTTATTTAAAAACATAAAATATAAGTAAAAAATATAAAAATATTGATGAAAAAAGATAACTTTTTTAAAATAAACATAATCAATACTAATTAATAGACTGAATAATTAATTTTTAAAACATAACAAATAATTAATTAGTTTTTAAAAAATAGAGAGAGTAATTTATAATTTACTAATCCAAAGAGAAATTATTTGGTGGTAGCACAATGAGTAAATTATAAATTAACCTCTTTAGTTTTGATATAAAAAATTAATGAATCTTGTTGTTTTAAAAAAAAATAATTAATTAGCTTTTATATTTATAATTTTTTTTACAACTTGATATTTTTTAATTTAATTTATTTTTTATTTAAGAAATAGGAAAAAGAAAAGTAAAGAATGAGTAAAAAGTATGAAAAATTAATGAAAAAAATCACATTTTGTAAAAAAAATAATATTAAATTAAACGTGATCAATACTAAAAAAAAAATTAAATAATTAATTTTTAAAATAAAATATCTATTTAATTCATTTTTTAAAAAACAGAGGGAGTAATTTATAATTTAGTCCAACTCAGAGTTGCATCAACATCTTTGTCCTCTTCTAATTTTTTTTAATCTTATCGATGGATAAAATTAAATTAAATATACTCCTTCATCGGAGGGACTATGTTTCTTCTGTCATAAAATAGTTTGAGTTGAGTTCGAGGTGGGTGTTTTGGTTGGGTCTGATTGTTGTTTCTTATTTCGGTGTCTGTCTTCGAATCCATCCAAAGATGGATGGCGTTTTGGGTTCGGAGACGAAAAACCACATTGTTATGGACGGTACGGTGAACAATGTTCACGGAGAAAGGGACGGCCTGTTGGTTGGCTCCGGTGCTAAGCTTGAAAAAATAATTATCGATACTGATCCTGGGATCGGTGAGGTTTTTCTTCTTCCTTTCGGTTTCTATTTTTTTTTTTTAAAAGCTGCGAGTTTAAATATTTGTTTATTAATAGATGATAGCATGGCAATCTTAATGGCATTTCAATCTCTGGAGTTGGAGGTCTTAGGGATTACAACAATATTCGGTAATGTCTCGACAGAAGATGCTACTCGAAATGCTTTACTTTTGGTATGTAACTTGTCGATCAATTTCACCTATTTTCTTTCATGTGAATGTATTCCCCACCATGCTTCTTTTTAACGTGTAAAAGGGTAGTGTGAGATCGCAGGGTGTCCAGATGTTCCTGTCGCCGAGGGTAGCCCTGAGCCTCTCAAGGTAACTACTTTTTTACCTCTCAAAGGGCTATTCAATTCTTTTACTTGATACATGATCTATTCCCTAGTGGATTTCTATTTTCTGAAATGGGATTTTTGTTTTTCTTATGCGGGTGTTTGATTTCTTACCTATATGTGTGTGTGATGTGTTTAGAATTATGAATTACTATGATTCTTCGCTTCTCTCTGCCATTGTTATCTTGCCAAACTCGTCCAGTTTTGGATCTATTAGTTTACCTTGTTTAACTTGCATTTGTTTTCATGTTTCCTAATGATTCTTTAGGGTGGAATCCCACGTGTAGCTGACTTTATTCATGGCTCTGATGGATTGGGGAACACATTTCTTTCTCCTCCAAAAGCAAAGCAAGTTGACAAGAGTGCTTCTGAATTTTTAGTTGATAAGGTGTCTGAGTACCCCGGTGAAGTATCTATACTAGCACTAGGACCACTAACTAACTTAGCTTTGGTGAGCATTCTTTCATCATCCTTCCCTTCCGTTCGGCGTCTTCCCTTGCACTTGGCAATTCCCTAGTTTGCAATTTCATAACTATCATATTTTCATGTCAGGCAATTAAAAGAGACTCTTCCTTTGCTAGAAACGTTAAAAGAATTGTTGTACTTGGAGGTGCATTCTTTGCATTGGGAAATGTAAATCCTGCTGCTGAGGCAAATGTAAGTTCTGGTGCTGGATTTTAGTCTCTTTGAGTTTTGCATTTCTTTTTTCCCCTCTCGTGAGAGTAGATTATTGTTTGCTTGGACCTCTGCTTCAGCAGATGCTGCCATAGTTGGAAACTTATTTCCTTATCTCTCTGCCTCCAGGCATGATATAACAGTCCAATTTGATTGCCAGCAAATAGTCTATATGAAATAGCTAATGTTTTTATGTCAATGTAATAGCATTCTTATTGCCGAAGAAAGGAGATTTGAAAGCGTTTATGTTATTTATTTTGCTAAAATATATTATTACTTTAGCTGCAACTACTGAGTTACAGAGCAAGGAAACTACTTTTTCAGTTAGTTGAAAAAAATGTTTTTCCTATCAAATGCCAGTGAGGCCTATATTTTGTGAGTTGCAGATTTATGGGGACCCAGAAGCAGCAGACGTGGTGTTTACCTCCGGGGCCAACATCGTTGTGGTTGGAATAAATATTACAACCCAAGTTAAATTTACAGGTGGAATCAACTTACTTCCTAGTCAAGCTTTCCTTTGCATTTTTTGCATTGAAATAGAATCATTTTTTTGCTAACAATTGTTTGAAATTGCAGATGGGGACCTTCTTGAATTGAGGAAATCCAAAGGGAAGTATTCTCAAATATTAAGCGACATGTGCAAATTCTATAGAGATTGGCATGTGAAGTCCGATGGCATCTATGGTAATTTTCCAGTCTATTTTGTAATCTTTTTTTATAATTTCCCCTCAGGTTTATAGCTGATTTGGTTGACCATTGTGCTTTTTAATCAATGTCCTGACTTCTTGATGTCTGTTTTCAGGCATTTTTCTGCACGACCCTGTGAGTTTTGTAGCTCTAGTTCGGCCCGATCTCTTCACATACAAGAAGGGGGTTGTGAGGGTTGAGACACAGGGCATCTGTGTGGGGCATACGCTAATGGACCAAGGACTTAAAAGGTATGTTCAAACAATTGTGCTATACTGCTATCCTATGCATTTAAATTGTTTTCTTATTTTAGTTCTTCTGATCATTAAGCTAAAATTTGTTATAGATGGAACACAAGCAACCCATGGTCAGGGTATTCTCCAGTTGAAATTGCTTGGACTGTCAATGTGGATGAAGTCCTCAATTACATTAGACAATTGTTGATGAAACCGTGAAGGTTGTATGTGGCTTCGACTTTGAAAGATGCCAGAAATTGAAGATGGAGGTCAGATTCCCTTTGCTGACGGTCTCTGTCATCCCTTTCCTTGATTATGACACCGACAAGGCCAGTTATTGTTTTCGCAAATGAACTTGTCAAAATATAAATTGATTGCCTGAAAATTATATATTAAATTCAATGGAAATAATTTGGGTTTTACCCACCATTTTTTCCGTACTCTTTGGATTGTTTTTATCTATTTTTTTCCTTTTTCTTTTTCTAAAAAAATAATAATAAATAAAATGAAAAGGAACAAAAAGAATTGAGTCACAATAAAATTTAAAAATATAAGAATTAAATGATTAGTTGTTGAAACAAAGGGAAGAGAAGCAAATCTGAGTAATGTTAGACATGAAAACTAAATATTCCAATGGAAATGCAGATTGATTTGCTAATTATGTCTTCCAAGTTATTTGTTGGAACTCATGATTTCAACCATGATCCCATTATTCTTCAACTTATACTGAGATGTGTTTGGAGTTGTTACTTCTCCTGTAAGGTAAGAAAAAACTTAAAAAATATACATTAGACATTAGATTTGTGGATCCAACATTCAAGACTATGTTGTTTATTTATTTATTTACTAGTATTTGTATTATTTATTTATCATTTCTCAATTTAAGGACACCACAGTAGCACTATGTTTGATCTTTGTAAAATCAAGGAAAGAGAGAACTAATGATAAGTTTCAAAACATGCACTCGGATTTTTTATAGCATAGAGTCACCACCACTACTCTCATAATAAAAGAAAACATTAATTTTTCAAAGTAAATTATAAATTAGTCTTTTTTATTTCTGAGAAACAAATTAATTAGTTCTTTGTTATTAAGTTTTTTAACTAATTTTGATTATGATTAATTTAATTTAATTTCAAAAAATGTCATGTCAATCTTTCCATATTTTTATTTTTTTCTATTTTTGAAAAAAAAATGAAAAGAATGAAAAGAATTAAATTATAAAAAATATAAAAATTAAATAATTAGTTTTTAAAATAAATGAGACTAATTAATTCATTTCTTAAAACTAAAGAGATTAATTTATAATTTAGTCTAATTTGTAATTTACTTCCAAATCCAATGACTTTTGAAGAAATGGAGCGGCATAATTTTGGGGTAGAACGAAGGTGGGCCTAAAGCTGTATTTGTTTTGAGAAAAATAAGTTCTAGAAACTTGTTTTCTTTATTTTCTATTATTTTTTAATGTTTGTTTCATATTTAGGAAAAAAAATCAACGAAATTTGATTTCTAGTCAACGAAAATTGATAGATTATTTTTAGGAAAGTGACTTCTAAGCTAAAAAAGAAGAAAACATTTTTTCTCTCTCACAAGTCGTCTTGCTCTCGCGTTACTCACTCCTCTCTCAAAACTCATCGTTTTCTCTCTCCGGGTACCTATTGTTGTCCATCCTCACCCAACGATTGTCGCTTGCAGCCCACCTAAGGACGTCTCCGCCACCTAACACCACTGCAACAAACTTAATGCCAACATCTCTGCTAATTAGTAAAATGTAGTGATAATATTATAAGTATTCAAGTTGTTTCTAGTTTACTTTCGATTATTATTTCTCCGATATGTTTCTTTTAAATTAATTAATACTAATGTATGTACTATGAAAGTATGTAATAATTTGAAAGTTAAATATTTTGTGTTTGTTTGATAGCTTATATATTTGATATTCAATATATTTGAAATTTTATGTAGATAGATATAAACAACGAGTGCTTCAATTGCAATCACTCGCATATCATATAGCTCATGAGTATGAAAATAGGACTAGCATACCAAGACAATTTCGAATTGATGAAAGTTATATGAGAGAGTTCTATATAAATAGTATACTTAATTAAGGTGATCGGCATTGTATTGCACAAATTCGTATGTCACCAAAGTCATTTGACAAATTGTGTGAGGTTTTGAACACAACCGACTTTTTACAATTAACTCGAAAATATGACCATTAGAGAACAAGTGGTGTTGTTCTTGTAAATAATTAGACACAATATAAGATTTTGATTTATTAGTGAAAAATTTTATAGATCCATTGAAACAATGCATAAATATTTTAGAATTGAATTGGCGGTAATTCTAAATTGTACTTCTATCTTATTCAAGACCTAGCTAACTCTATACCCGAAGTAATTTCCAACAATGAAAAATTTTCTCCATATTTTAAAGTTAGTTATCTCTTTTCTTTGTAAAAATAAAAAATTCTTAATTTAACTAGTTTCATTAAAAATTAAAATTTCATAAATATTAATTTTTTATTTAGGATTGCATTTGGGCACTTGACGGTACCCATATTCCAAGCAAGTGTACTTATGGAACTCGCAAGGAAAGTTTCGTAGTAGAAAGGATGGAACAACACAAAATGTATTGGCAACCATCAATTTTGAACTAAAAATTTACTTATATTTCAGTTGGTTAGGAAGGAAGTGCACATGATTCTCGTGTCTTAAACGATGCGCTATCACGAGCAAGAGGACTTAAGATTCTAGAAGGTATTAAACGAAATGTTTAATGTACATTGTTTACACATATAATTATAGATGTATACAAATATGTATTGGTGGTATATTTCATAAAATTTATACGTAAATATTAGCTTAGTGATGCTCGGTTACGGAACCCAAAATGGAGTGATAACTCCATATCGTAGTGTTCAATACCATCTAAACGAGTTTACTAAGCATCCACTTAAGAATGCAAAAGAGTTATTTAATCTTCATCATTCTTTCTTGCGAACAACAATTGAACATGGTTTTGGTATACTAAAGAAAAGATTTCGGTGTATTGATGCTCGATCATTTTGGTTCTACAAAACTCAAGTGGATATCGAGCTTTCAAGTTGTATCCTTCATAATCATATAATAGGAGTTGACCTTGATGATTTTCTTATGGAAGAAATCACCATATCAAGCTAATTCATAATGCAAAGAACCCATTTAAGTATAAGAGAGGAAATGGAAGAAAATAAGGAATGGGTAGCTAAAAAAGATGTCATGGCATCAAATATATAGAATGACCGTGTTATATAAAGTGACCCATGATTTCAAAGCATCATTAATGTATTTATATATGTTTTACTTCTTGATCGAATGTATGATTTATGGGATAAATTAGAGTTCCATTTTTATTTGGTTGTCAATCCTTTTCAAATTTTAGTGCTATTTTTTTTTGGGTTACTTTGAAATAGTTTAGTTACAATTATCTCAATTGAGATTGGGAGGTGGATTTACACATTTCTAATATGTTTTTGGCTTTTGTTTTTACTATAATTTTAACAATTTTTATTGTTTTTTCGTTTTGCCATTTAAAGTTTATTGAATAAGTGATGATGTTATTTGACTATTTCTCTAGTTTTTACTTTTTGAAATTATGTTCATTAGTAATGCTTGCAAAAATGAGCAACACAAAGCAAGAAAAAGCTAAAGTCGAACGACTTAATTAGGTGGATAAAACCTATGTCCAATATGTTACTTAAGATTTTGGTCGAGGATGCTTGTGAAAAGGAATAAACCTTTTTTCACTTTCAAACAAGACAGACTTTGCACATGTAACAAGAAAAGTCAACTTGAAATTTGGATTAGTTTTTTGTCCCGATCATGCTAAAAATCACTTGAAGATAATAAAAAAAAGAATGAAAAATTATCATATAACTACAAGAGAAAAGTAGTTTTGGATGGAATGATGAGTTGAGAATAATAACTATATAAAAATAAGTTTATGATGAGGAGATAACGATAATGTAAAATCTTTTTTTTTTAATATTTCAACTTGTTTTTTTGGATTTATAAGGTATTTTCTAATTTCTTTTAACATACGAGCACATCCTAACCATGAGAAATACTTGAATAAGAAAATTTAGATGTATAATGAGATGACACTTGTTGCGGGAAAAGATATGGCCACATAAAGTTTTGCCAAGTCCTTTAATAATATCAACATGGTTAAGAGCTTTGAAATGGAATCTATAACACTAGATGAAGTTGAGATAGGTAAAGGAAAAAAATATCATCAACTAGCATGCTTTCCGGAAAGAGAAGCCATTGAAAAAGAGGCCATGAAACTAAAGAATCGATTACATCTATTTTAGTTGTGGAAGTGAGAGAAGTGGCCAAAGCAATTCATACTTTAACCAAAAATGAAGTTGATATGGATGATGTTTATTATGTAGTGATGAAGGTTACTAATTTTGATGATGACATCTTGAATAATGTCTTTGATTACTTGGTGCCAAAATAAAAGGTTGACAAATGGCGAGAAATGAACAATATAGAAAGCTTTGGATTGAAAAGCTCATCAAAGAACATGATGGATCATCTACATGAAGTGTTAACAATTGCTAACAATAGCTGGATCTATTATTGTTATCTATGGGTTTGCTATTATGTATTTTGATTCGTATGAATATGCATTTTGTAGACAATTTTTGGGTTTTTTGGATGTTAGTTCTTTCTAGTTATCATTGTAGCTATTATTATGGATGTTGGATGTATTACTATTTTCTAGATGGTTGATTATAATTAATGCTTTCTATTTTGGTATACCAACATATCGGTAACTCACATGTTTTGTTTTGTAGCTTTTTATATATAGACTATTATGGATGTCGGATCTTTTAATAATTTTTATATTGTGAGATTGTGAATACGTTTTGTTGAAGTTCTCTCAAAAATCGTTTATATAAGAATCACAATTTGTTTTTGTATTTCAAGTTTTGGTATCAAAGAAACGCTAGAGCATAATTTTCAATATTTTTTTCATGTAATTGCTAAACTTTAGAAAATATATTTTTTTGAAAAATAACTTTATGAAAAATAGCTTCTTCGAATTGCTTTTCCTATTAAGAGTTATTTTATGTCAAACAAACAGAGCCTAAAACTAGTTTTACTAGGAATTCATTGACTCGTTGTTTGCTTGTTGAATGTTGACACCACGACGAGCTTAAAGGATTGATGATGGCAATGCAACCGAGGAAATAAGAGTTCATGGATGGTTTTTTTTTTTTTTTTTTGGCTTGTTAGGGCTTTTTTTAAGATTTTCAAATTTCGGTTACTAAGATGTGGAAAGAGTGCTTGCGTCTTTAACGCTTTCATCCTTGCGAGAAAATATTTTTATAAAAATAATTTTAATCATTTATGATTAAATATTAAAATGATAATATCTTGTATTTATTTACAAAAATTCATAAAATCAATTTATTTGATTTACGGGCTCCTCATTTAACAAAAAAAAAAAAAAACCATTGCTTAATGGTTAAATGCATTGATTTGATTTATTAATTTATCTAATCGATCACTCGTACACAAGGAATGCATGATTTGTCCAAAAAAAAAAAATGTGTAGTGTACGTAAAGAAAAAGAAAAAAAAGTCTCTTGTGATTTGTTTTCAATGGTTATTTCACAAACTACATCTAAGTATTATGTAAAAATTAAAGAGAATCTTCATTTACAAACGAAAACTTATGAAGTTACGATAAAATTGATTAGACTATGATATTCTTAAAATGAAATGCAATACATGATTATCTACATCGGATATTTTCTATAGATGTTGCATATTGTTTCAAAAAATCAATCTAATGTATACCTTAACCCATTTATTTTAAACTTGTTCAATTATGATGATTTTGATCATCAACCATTTCTATAATGAAAAACTATGATAATAAAATTTTAATTCATAACTTTCACAACGATTAACATAAAAAAAATTCAATTCTTTATCCATTTTAATTTACAATAAATTTATTTATTTATTATTTAATCATGTTTCTTTTTATGTGCTATTGAATTTTGTTTTAACTCATGTGTTGATAATTGTTGGGAATTAGGAATTTGTAAGATTATAGTAAGGGCAACAATTCTAGCAACGATCATTTATAGACAACTTTTAATGGTAGAATTTAACTTTGTTTTGAATTAATGATCAGTTTATTTTGTGAATTGAAACCGATTGCAAAAATCAGTAGCCAAGAATTGATCAGTATCCAAAGCCAATCTAATTGAAGAAAAGTGAGAGGACTTTTCTAGTATAAAACCTTTGATTTTTGATTTTTTGATTTTTTTTGTTTTGATGTTCAGTTGTTGATTTTTAATATTTGCTATCCAAACTTTATTTTTTGTTTGTTTTGATCCCCGACTTCACTTCAAGTTCAATTTCGTTAACGTATCCGACTAGAGTTACCATGTGACGCTTAACTCCAAACGCATCAGCATCTCATGATCTAAAGTGGTTGTGAACACTTAAATAGAAAAAAAAAAATCAAAAGTTAAGCATTGAAATAGAAAAAAATTAAAGATTGAGCACCTAAACGAAAAAAAAACAATTATTGGACATAGAGTATGTAGTGTTTTAAGAAACTTTGTTTCAATTTTCTCACACCAAATGTTTATCTCCTTTTTTATACTCTAATCTATCATTTTCTTATCATAAATAGATTTCATAGATATCTTGTACTTTTATAATATATATATGTATGTACGTATATGTGGTCTCTCGAAATTTTTTTTTCTTTTGGATGTTAAAAATCATATAATTTTAAATTCCAAGAACATAAGCAATTATATGCATGCATTTTTTTTTTGTTATTATGCTAATTGCATAAACAATTTTAACAATGTATTCACTTATTAGTTTAATTCATATTTTACTTATCACCTCTATCATCATCGCCACCGTTATCAAAAGTATTGCACTTTAAACATCCAAATCAAAAAGTTCGATCATTAAATTTATTCATCTTGATTTTATCGCATCTCGACCCTACTATAAAAACGTTTAGCAAGTTATTGATCATAAAAAGCTTATGTCACCTATTATATATTGGTCGATTTTCTCCCTAGATAGAAGAAATAATTTTATTTTTTTTTGTTTGTAAATTTCTCTATTGACTAATCATTTGCTCCGCAAATAACAATTATAACTATATCTTATATGTCTTTTATTTTTATGAATTTACTCTTAATTGGACTTTATATATATATATATATATATATATATATATATATATATATATATATATATATATATATAAACGACAAAATATTAAATTTGTCTAGATAGCTAAAGGGGTTTAAAATTTTTTAAAAGTAATATTTAACATACGAGTATTAAAAAATTACATTTGATAATAAAAAAAAAGCCACAAGCATGATATGAAAAATATTTATTAGAAATTATTGAACCGATTTTGCAATCTCGAGATAATAAACTTCTTGAAAAAATTGTTTTTTTGGAGCCCAATCTTTAATTTTTTTCTATTTCAATGTCTAATTTTTTATTTTTTCTATTTGAGTGCCCGCAGTCACCTTAGACATGAGATGCTAATGTGTCTAGAGTTAACTATCACATAACATGTTTTGACAAGTCACATGATAACCGTCGTTAGATACATCGACAAAATTAAACTTCAAATGAAGTCTGAAATCAAAACAAATAAAAAATCAAATTTTGGATAACAAATCATTAAAAATCAATTAGTAGACCAACCAGACAAAACAAAAATAACAATAGGAAACCAGAAAAATTTTTTCTACCAAGAATAGTTGATTTAATACAGAAACAACTACTTTACATGGAGGATATGGATCACTGTTGACCCGTTCTAGAACTGTACAGCAGGATCATACCGTACCGATTTTTGGGTATTTACAGGGGTGAATATGAACAGGAAGCGAAAGTACAGGGGGGTCCCATTTGAAGAAAAAGAAAAATCTTTTTTCCACAGTAGGGATAGATTGAACTATTGAAACTAAAACGGCACCGCGTAAATTCCCAACTTCCCCCAATTCCATTGTCTTCTTCTTCAAGAGAATTTAGGGCAGCAGTTTCTGCACATATCATCGATTCGGTCTTAAAAAATGGAGCAAGAAACGGGTTTGTCGAAACCAGTGGCGGCGATAGCCTGCGGGACCATGGCATTCCTTTACGTTGCCATTCTCTATGCTCCCACTTTGATCCTGCGCCTCCTGCCTCCTTCCTCTCTCAAGGAATTCATGGTCCGCCGGTTCATATGCGCCACAATATCTTCATTCCTGTCTCTTGCTTTCTGTGCTCTCCTCCTCCCTGTACGTTGTTCCATTTCCTTGATTTTCCACTGACCCTAGGTGCTATCACATTAATAGTACCGTTAGTTACTTGTTTTGTTGTGTTACAAATGATGCTAGATGAGGAGAAAGGAGGCAACTTACTTGTTGGGCGTATATGGCATCAGACTGGACCATCTTGTGAGTATCTTGTTTATATTTATTGTCAATGTTGAATTAATGAGTATTGGGAAGGAGATATTCTTTTTAATCATAGTGATTATCGGGTTGTATTCTTGTATGACCTGCAGATGGGGAAAAAAAGGCTGACTGATTGATAAAACTTGCATTCTGAAATGCAATTTTAATGTATGAAACAGTGGCAAGCTGTGGTCTTTCCTCTTTCGTTGACTTGTTTAATGTACGCTGGATCTTTGGTCTTCAAGTCATTATTGCTAGTGGAGTCATGGAAGGAGCATATGCATCAGGGTGAAGGAATTTCTTTTAACACTATTAAAGATATCCTGCAAAACTTTCTTGCCGGGGTGTCTTCAACTGCCTCCAATGTCTTGGCTTGGCGTAATTATGCTGTGGTGAGTTTATTTATTAATCAGAACAAGATCACAAGTTTCGAAATAAATATGTCATCAATGTTTGCATAGGTTAACTAAATGGCTTTATATAGCAATTAAGGTTATGGATTTTTTTGGACCCGTATTAGGTAAGCAATTTCGTTTTCCTTCCATACGCTAGCTACCAATTATTTCCTTTTACCTCTTATTCTACTATGCGCATGTGTGGTGAGTAAAAACGTGTGATTTCTTACTCAATTTTTATGTGCGTTCATAAGTAGCACCTTTACTTCAATGTTTGACAAAGAATCCACGAGTAGTTGATATGGGCTATCATGCACTTAATAGGCATAAACTTTGTCTATGGTAGTGTGCCCAGACAACGTTCCAACATTTGGAATATGTATTTATTCCTAAATCTGATTCCACCTTATGGTTTGAAGGAAGGCTCAGACCCAAGTCTAGCAGGGGAGTTTGGATGGCAGTTTGCCAATTAAGCTATAACTCAGTGGTGTAATTTGGTTTTATTCTTTAATGATGTTTAGTCTATCACATTATGGATGCCTAATGGGTCCTTTCTTACCCTTAATTGAGCGTTTGAAAATATTGAAGGATGAAGGGAATAGTTTATCTTTGCCTATTTATTTCCTAAAATTAGCTAGTCCTGTTTGCATCAGCATTGAATGTTAATTTTTCAGTTTGAAGTCTCTTAGTTAAACGAAAAATTCTTAGCTTCATCATCACACCAATCCTCAACTCTGTTACATGCAGGCTCCATTGACTGAGGAATTGGTGTTTAGAGGATGCATGATACCTTTACTTCTCTGTGGAGGATTTGAGATCTACACTGTCATTTTACTCTGCCCTATTCTCTTTAGCTTGGGTAAGTCAAAGTGCATGGCAGAAAGATACTTATCGTTAACTATTTCTTAAAAGTCAATATAGCATGTCAAACACTTGTGTATTTAGGCAGTAACTGAAGATGATTAAGAATTGGATAGTATTTAAGAATGAAGTGATCACAGATCCATTTGTTATCATATTATTGTCTACTTGAATGTTTACTGTTTTCTCTGATACTTTTTGTTCATATAACAACAGTGCAAAATAACTTTTGCTCAGTTGATAAGCAATTATAGTTCACAACCCTAAATACTTTTCCATTTTTTAGCTTCTCTAGCTTAATTTTCTGACACCTGTATAAAAAAGACTCTGCTGTGGTTAAATCTCACTTCAGAAACTACAACTACTTTAATGCAATGTAGTCTTATCAAGTGTGATTGTTACTGTTCAGCACATTTAAACCATTGGATGGAGATCTATGGCCGGCAAAACTATAGCTTGCTCAAGGCATTCATGGTTGTAGGTATTCTCTGCTTCTTACTTGTAGCTTTGATAGATGTCTTTTGTACAGTATAGCAATTTTTCCGTAATATTGATTTGTTTTGTCACCTTAAGTATGTTCGATGCATTTGTTTTGAAATTTGTGATGTGTTTGTTTGGAGAGCATGATTGATCAGAGACTTCCTTTAGATCTTGATGTCTCATTGGCAAATGGATTTGTATGTATTTCTCAGGTCTTCAGCTAGGTTACACTGTGATCTTTGGTTCATATGCATCTTTTCTTTTCATTCGAACAGGTGAGTCATGTGACTTGATAATTGTTAAGATATCAAAACTTATTTTTGTCTTCTATCTAATAGCCTAAACTTTTGAATTAAAGTGTTCTTTCCAAGAAATGTATGTAAAGGTTAGAAGTTTGGGTCCTTGTTATTTTTCTGTGATGGATTATTTTACGTCTTAACCATGGATCACATTCATCTTTGTAGGACATCTTGTTGCTCCATTAGTTGCTCATATATTTTGCAATTTTATGGGATTGCCTATGCTCTTTGTGAGGGGGAAAGGTATGTCAGTTGAATTGCAGGAATGCAGGTGAAGCAATCTAATTTCAATGTATGACTATATATAGATTTGGGTTGAATCATTTTGCTGGATCATATTGCATAAGCGCATCCTTATCTTTGCCATCTCTGGTCATTACTAGTGTTTCTAAGCTTCTTGTATGGGCATAAAATCACCAATTGCACCTGTACTTCCATAATTTGGTAATATTGACACTGCATGAGACTGGCTCCAATTGATCTTTTTTCTACTGTTCTGGGGATATTTCAAAGCCTCATGTCTTCTGAAAGGTCCGTATTGGCGCCGCATGTACAGTTCACTATAAAAGTGAAATAAAACAGATCTTTCTGATAAAATCAAATTATTAAATAAAAAGCATTCGAGATTTATAAAATAAATTTGAAAACCTATGTGAAAAATATAATATATTTAGAATTATAAGAGGAAAAAATGAGAGCTCAGTATAAAACAGACTAAATCATGTTATTTATGTTAAAACTACATTTGGAACTTAAATAGCCAAGAAACCACTTCTCCATTCCTGAATCATAGCCTGGTTTGCTAATTTGTTTGGATTAACAAAACCATTCTGAAATAAAAATAAAAATAAAAACTTAGGTGGTGTTTGATAAAACTGAAAATTAAATGTTCAATCCATTAAGTACTGAATTTTAAATGCTGAATAATTAAGTATTGAATATGTTGTTGACAAGTTGTTTGGTATTTATTGAAAATTAAGTGCTGAATATAATAAGGTTATTTGATAAGTATTGTTGCTGAACATATTAATGCTATATACATAACAATTTTAACCTTATAATTGTAACATGATATTTTTTAACACAAATAAAAATATACATAGATAGATGTGTTTGTGTATATAAATAAATAAATAATCAATAAAAATGATTATTAATAATCAATTTGTTGAATATATAGCTCAGGTGAGAACTTCAATAAATAAATAATTAATTAGTTTCTCAAAGCAAGAGGGACTAATTTATAATTTACTCAAATAAATTAGTTTGACCTATTTAGCATTTTTTTTCTTCTAAGAGAGAATCCGAAGCTTATCATTTTTCATTTCTCAGCATCCTTTTTTATCTTCTTCTACACCTCTCTCTCTCTCTAATTCTAGAAAAACTGACTCCAAAACTTTAAAGCCTTGGCCTTGGATTTACAGCCCAGCATAAACTGAAAAAGGAACAAAATGATGACTGAAACATTGTTTGCTAATGGCAGCAAAGTAGAAGTCACCAGTGATGAAGAAGAGTTTAAGGGAGCATGGTATGTTGCAAAAATAGTAAATACTTCTTCCAAAACACAGAAAGGCAACATCTTGGTTGAATAGGATTCATTACTTGCTAAGGATGAAAAGAGTCTGTTGAAAGAGTATATAGATACTTCCACGATTAGGCCTTTGCCACCAGAGGCCAAAAAGTTCAAAGCTTTTGATGTTGTTGACACTTTTTTCCATGATGGCTGGTGGAAAGGTGTTATCTCAGAAGTTCATGATTTTGGAGGGAGGGAGGGACAAGAAGAAGACCATGAGATACATTGTTGTTTTTGACAACCCACCTGACAGAATTGAGATTGGATCTTAAGTTTGAGGCTTCATTTAGATCGGAAGAACAACTCCCGCGGATTAATTTACATGACAGCTTCACTCCTCTGAACAAAGGAATTATTAAATATAAAGGTTATATAGTCATATTTAAATAGTTTTAAAAATCTTTCAACTAAGCGTGTTAATCAAAATGTTTTAAGTTAAAAACTTTAACTTACCTAATTAAGTAGATTTTGACTGAATTTAAATTTGAAATTTGAGATTATTTAGATTATCAAACAAATTTTTTATAGTAAGTACTACAATTTAATTTTCTAAACTATTTAAATAGGTTATCAAACACATTCTTAGTTTGGTATTGACTAAAAAATTGTTTAGTTTAATAACGAAAACCTAGTTTTGCATTCTGAAAAACTCACAAAGTAAAGTCATATTTTTATTCTATTTTGAACCATACACATGGAACTGTGGCTGGAGCCTGGCCTGATTTAGTTAACTAATGCTTCCTTGTCTATCTAAAAGAAACATAAATGGAGGGTTTAAGATCTCCCCATAATAATGCTTGTAATAGAGGGGAACCAAATCAGGAAAGTAGATGGATTTCACCATGGTTCTTAGCATTCTTAGATTCTATATATTCTTCTTTTTCGACTCCCAAAGCATAGTATGCTTGTTACAACATTGGACTTTTGGAGAGTTTGAGGAGTGGAATTTACATCCATGGCTATGCAAACAATAAACAAGATATACGAACTAACCTAGCAGATGTCTAAGGTTTGCCGATCCTTTGTTAGTCAAAGCTTTCCAACTTTATTTGGTCAATCTCTTCCATACTTTTTCTCTAAACCAATCTCTATGTTACTAGTTAAAATTTTGGAAATTATTAATTATCATGCTCACTTTGATAGTATTATTTGTTTCAGGGATGGTGAGTTTAGCATTCATAGCTGGAACTGTAGCCTTCATATGGCTTTTTTTTCCTATTACACAGCCTCATTTGTACAATGGTAGAACAGATGACTGTAAATGCTGGCATGGATATTGTTCCTGGAATTTAAATTCGTAATGCTGCAAGAAGATGGTAGTGACATTCTCTGCTCGTAGATGAGACTAAATTGGAAGGGGAGTGGAATGCTTCAGACGTTGTGAAAGTAAAACCTTCCATCTTCCCTTTTATGGCAAAATCCGTTCTCAAATTTTAAGTAAAACAAGCTCCTGTCATAGTATAAGCTGTTGATTGGAAGGCTATCTTCAGCGTCTCTTGTTAAGAACTTTTTATTTAATTAAGTTGTAATTTCCTTTGTAATTTTATATTACAGAAATTAGGAAGGTGGCACTAGACTACTTGTACGCATGGGAACCTGTGGAGATCAAAACTGGCTTGGATTGGTGGCATTGGAATCGCCTGTTTCGAAAACTTTTCTGCCTTTTCTGTCTTGTTTTTAGCCTGCTAGGGGTGTATGTATTTTTCTTAATCTTTATGTGTTAAAGAGTGTGTGGAAGAGGGATACGATTTTTTCTGTTTTGATTTTTTTTTCCCTTATTGGGCCTGGTAGCCTAAACAGTGAGGCCCAATGCCTGTGCATCTGGGCCATGCACACGCCTTGGCTGGCCGAGGTTTATTTAATTTTTTTTTTTTTGGGAAAAAAATGAGGTGATGAAAACGTAAAATAAAATAAAACGTGCTAGATTGAACGCTACCTCAACCAAAACCACTTCAAGGATCAACAATCGCAAGGGAAAGCTAGAAATCACAATAATAATCAACCTCCGATTTTGGGTTGTTTGAAAGAAAAATGATTCAAACCTGATATTCTTTTTAATAAATAAAGTTTAGTCACTGATTGAAATTGTTAATTGAAGCATGCATCAACACAAAAATAAGAGGCAGTGAATGTTTCTTAAGTTTTTGAAGTATATATAATTGGTTGAAAACTTGTGAAGGTATTTAAAACGTGACAGGGGTATTTCTGTAAAGTTCTTTGATATTTGACCCAAAAAAAAAAAAAAAAACAATTAGTGTTGTTTTTAGTTTTTAGTTGGATTTTTGGTATTAAAGAATAATATAAATTTTATTAGGAGAGACACTTAATAGTTTAAACTTTTAGTTGAGTTGGTTCTTTAATGTAATATCAAAATCTTACTAACTTAATAATTAAAAATTCGAATCTTATCATTCCAATTTTTTTTAAGCACAAGATAGTGTGGATGTGTGTAAGTTTCAAATCTAAAAAACTTTCACTTAAGAATAATATCTTTTAAATTACAAACTATTAATTTATTTTACAACTAATAATTTAATTAAATATCTCATAATTATGCCAATTACTAGTATTATTGTACAATTGCAATTCAAAATGTACATCATTACTTTTAATAAATAAATAAATAATATTCAGTATATATAAATAATTACAAACCGTTAAATAGATTCACTTCAGGTATTATAAGAAAATATTTTATCTTTTTGTGATTTAGTTAATTGCTCATGATAATCACAAAAAAAAAAAACTTATAATTTCAATAATAATAAAAAGTTTCTTGTTGCCATAGAAAAAAAAATTTATTTAAGTTGTAAACAAATTATTTTTAAGTAGTTACGAACTAATAAGTATTTATGTTTATTGCATTGTAAATGCCATTTTATTAATATTTTGTAAATTTAAAAACACTTTAATTATAATGTTTCGAAGTAATATAGCAAGTTCCATGTAATGGAACATAAATAATAGAGTAGGGGAAATATGAATGTTCTTAAATGGCTGATTGGTTAATATAAAAAAGCAAGGAAAAAAAAAAAAACATTGAACTCTGCGTTAGTCCTTGTATTGGATTTTTCAAGGAACGGAAACCCATCATTTATGATGTTAAAAAAAAAAAAAAAAAAAAAAAGGCTGCTGAAAATCTGAAGCTGCAAAGCGAAACCGTCTCCCAAGGATAGAATGGTTTCTGGGAATTTATTACTGGTATATTTTTAGATTAAATCAATCAAACCTATCATAAATTTTAATTCATTTAAACATCAGTTTCTAAACTTTAATCTTTTTAAATTTAATCTATTTTATAATTTTTGGCTATTATTTTTTATTTTTTTAAAAAAATTTTAATTTTTGATACTTCAGACTGACGTGTTGCACACAAATAGAAAAAATTCAATCAACTTTAATAAAAAAAAAAACCCCATAATTTTTCAAGATTGGATTTTATTTTTTAAAAATTAAAAAAATAAAAAATAAAAAATAATCCTGAATAATCATAAGTTTTTTGGAGAATGATTTTTATCATTAGTCAATTCATGTGACCATTATATTTGGTAAAAAAAGAAAAAAACTAAAAAACTAAAAACGAACTAAATTTTAAAAAAAAAAGTTAAAAGAATCAAATTCAAGATTAAAAGTTATAAAGTTGAGAAATTATTTTATCCATTTAGCCTGTTTTTCAATATAGAACCATATTAAGAATAGAGAGTCAAAGACCTAGACTAGAGAATAGGAAGCTGCCGTCGCCACCGATGAAGAATACAAGAGTACATCTTGGTAAGAGAGAGAGAAGTTGATAGACAATGAAATCGTAAGGTCACGTGCAGGGGGTTCAAAGGCACTTGCAAACTATAATAATGCAAATTTTTCTCTCTTTAGAGCATTATATGTTATAATAATGCAATTTCTCATCATTAGACATGCAGGAGATTGGTGTTTGGTATTATGTGACATGATTAAGTATGACCTCAGAAAGTAGAAAAATTAAAAGGCTTGAAATCTCGATGACGTCATGTCCATGGCTGGTTGGTTATTAACCAAACACAGATTTATTTATTTACCCGTGGGTCATATCTCACCATAACTCTGCCAAGGAAATCACAAATTCTCACCCATCATGCTAAATCATACAGCAGAGTGAAATCTTCCAAACTTTCACGTGTGTAGCATCATCCTGTCCAATCATATCTCACAGGTCAACTTCTCTCTCTCTCTCTCTCTCTCTAGGTTTTAGGGTAAATTGAATGGTCATCTACATAATTTTACTAACAGGCAATGTAGTGGTTGATGATGACGAAGATGGTGGTGGGTACTCATGGATGCCTGTTATGTGTGGCCATGCAAAATCTCTCGAGCACTGCCATACACATTTATGAGAGAAAAAAGAAAAAGAGAAAGAGTTTAAATCGTGAAGCCAATTTTCTTTCTTTCATTAAGGGAGGCTAAAGATCACTACAAAAAGCAACACTCATTAATAGTGGTAGAAGGGTTACAAGGGGAAGAGACCATTATTATCTTGGCTTGTCATCATTAGGTGTTTCAGAACAGAGTTATAACTCTAGCTAGCTCGATTCACACCACCAATTTCCTTGTTCTTCCACTTTGGACACTTCGCTTTTGTCCCCCCTATGCTTTTGACTAGATATGTAACTTCATTAGGATAGGGCTTGACTGCTTGAGGTTGGCCTCCTTTTAAGTGATATGCGGTTGTTGATGACATGCAAAACATTTAGTGATTATAATTAAATTCGACACTTCTAAGAACAAAAAGAACCAAACTACAATATAAAAACAATTCAAATTCCAAACTTTTGAAGAATTACTTTCCGCAACACAACCGAATGCATGGTCAGCTAGGTCTATTATTCTGTCTGTCTTTTATTATTGTTTAGGAAAAAAGTTATTGCAATAGGAATTCTATTTCTAATTAGTTAGCTATGTTTGCAAGTTTTCTTGGTTATTAAATTATGGTTAAATGATCAATTTTTTTCTTAATTTTAGTTTATTTAAAAATCAATATCTAAAATTTAATTTCAACTTAAACTTCCACCAAATTTTATTTTATTTTTTTAAGATTTAATTCATGTTGTCGTTGTGTTTTAATAAAGAATCGATGCTTGTTTGTGTCTTGATGAATAAACATAATTATTTTTTAATAAAATAATATATATAGCTGGAATTCAAAATACTCACGAAAGGTTTTACCAATAAAATTTCCATAGGTAAACTAGTTTCCAAAAGAAT